TGCTAGTATTATATTGTAATCTTTGATAAATTAGAATATATATAAGTATACTAGATTTTCCAATACATGTATGCATTTTCCAATAATGATATTTTCCCTAGTGGTTAATGTATATAATTATCTCCTCGATTGAAATTCTCCGTATCATCGTCATTTTTTGATTGCATTCATCTCCATCTTGTCCAATGTGGTGTCTGTATAAAAATTTTTTAAGCAATATCGACATCTGAAGGAGTGAATATACAAATAAATCACTATAATGATTAGTGTATCGTTTTTAATTTATATTTGTTTAGAGTTCAATAAAACAATATATTCTCTGACTTTGTTCATCCCCAAATTAAATAACTTTTTATATAAAGATCTCTTGCATAAATTCAAGTGAAATGGCAAAAATGACTCTATAACAACAAGTTTAATTAAATTAAAATTCATGTTTGTGCCACCAGTGTTAACTTTCCGAATTTTGGGGGATAATTGTACTTACTTAGAACATTGGGGTCCCCAAAACAATATTCAGTTATTGTTCATGCATTTGAATTTATTTCATTTGTGCTTCATGCATTGTATCATAGATATGCATGCCTAATTCTTGGACATGAAGTGAAAGGTATACTGTATACACCAAATATATAATCTTCTTTTTGTCCAAAAATATATACCCATTTTGGAATTGCGTATGGTAAAGTGGAATCATCATATTTGACAAGAAAAATAGAAAGACTGTAAAGATGAAATTTGGATAAGCTTAATTTAGTTGCACATATATTCATTGTATCATAAAATCCATAGTCTTAATTAGGAGGCACTCCTGTCTGTAAAAAGCAAACCAAAAAAAAAAAGATCATTAATTATTTTTGTCCTATAATCACTTTCATTTTGAACTTCCATATAATCAACAAAAATATTGTTATTATGATATGTTATTGTTCGCTTTAAGCCAAATCTACAAGATAGTAAATCAACCAGCGTCCAAAAGGGTATTAGTAAAACCTCATACCGTCAATAAAAAATATTGGTGTCCATACCAATTAAATGTTAGCAGAAACAATTCTAAAATATTTTTTAACATGATATAATTATATCAATTTTGAGCCAAGTGCACATTATTTTTCTAAAAGAGTATGTTTAGAGCATTAAAATATCACTTCATCTAATATATGGCTTTTCTTTGTGTATTTTTAATAATAACTTTATTTCTATATCAATATGATAGAATCAGCACCCGTTGAAAATATTAGTAAAAACCCTTAATAAGCTAAGGGAGCTGTTTTATAATCTTTGGAATAGTAGAAATCAATGAAATTTTGTGAAGGTTTGACTTTCTCCTCATGATATTTCCCTTGGAATGTCTAATCAATAAACAATGTAAAATAAATAACCAATCATTTTTGAAAACTCTTAGCTGCCGACCCTTTCTTTAGTACAATTCTTTAAATGAAAAGAATTTTCTTTTTTAAAAACAAAATAAAATCATATACAACTATACAAGTCAATTGTATTATTTTTCATTGAAGATGACAAGAGCCAAACATCAAATTTACATACTCCTATTCCATATATAATGTGACACATGGGGTAATCTACTTATTTAATTAATTTAAGACTTCTAAACTATTCATTAAAGAATATGAAAATTAATTAAAATTAAGTATCTCCACCTAATAGTATTAGAAATGAAAATTACTTATCTACTACCTAATTAAAAATACAGGTACTAGAAAACAAGAAGATTGATTAAGGATACTAGTCAATATTATTTCACAAAAATTTACGAGTAATTAATGTAACTATCATTAAAATTATGAGTAATTAATCTAACTACCACTTTCATCTCATAGCTAATTACATGTAAGAAAGACAATCAAGAAAATAAAACACTCAAATCCTTCCTTGCTCAGCAAGATTTGCTGACTTGATTTCATCTTTAATTCCCTGTTTGCCTACAGATTCCACACGTAAACTACTAATTACAGAGTATATTTTATGTTCACACTCACACATTAATTTTAAAAGTTACTATAGCAAGTAATAACTTAAGGAAATTCAAATAATATATTAGTCAATGGTGGTAGTTAAGTGATACTTAAAAGTGCATGTTAATGTTTTTAAAAAATACATATAAGTAGAGTTTTTCATATGTCTAATCTTTTTCAAATTTTACTCGTAAAACTATACTAAGTTTATTTTTATTGTTATTGTATTGTGATGAGTGTGAATAGAAATTAAAGACACTATGTCTGAATTCACATCGAACATATAACAATAATTAGTCTTATCCTTTAGCCGCCTATATACTACATTGTAGGGGTGTTCACGGTTTGGTTTGGGTCGGTTATTGGTCAAAACCAAAACCAAACCAATTTAATCGATTTTAAAATTATCAAACCAAATATAATATACATTTATCGGTTTGGTTGTTTTCGGTTTTGGTTTGGTTTGGTTCGGTTATTTGGTTATTAACCATACATAAAAATAAAATAAACAATTCATTCAAAACGTGAAAAAAGTGACAACAATCCACTCAAACAAAAAAATAGTTAGAATGACTGGCATTACAGAACTTTTGATCATTGAATTTACTGAATAAAACTTCAAAATTCACTATTTTGGCATAGAAGGAAGAGGCAATGACATTTTCAGTCCCACAAAGAATTTTCATAGACACTCATATACATGAAACCAATAAGAAAAATGTTCTCACCTTGGACATTTTTTCTTTCATAAGTAAATTATAAATAAATTTTGATGAAACATATATAAAATCTTTAAAATTGTTTATGAATATAATATATTATGTATGTATAATAATAAAATTTATGTATATAACTTGTTGGTTTGGTTCGGTTATTTCTTCGATGTTTTTCGAACAAAACCATAACCAAACCAAATACTATCGGTTCTTAACAATCTAAAACCAAACCAAACCAAAACCCAAATTAAATCGGTTCATTTAATCGGTTTGGTTTGGTTTTTCGATTTGGATCGATTTTTATCCAAACCATGAACACCCCTACTACATTGTAATATAATATTTTGGAGCAAATTAAAGACGCGTTCCATCGTAGAAAATCAAACAAGTCAGAGCGGTTCTTTCGCTTTCACTTGCACACGAGCTTCACCATATGATAGTTTTCATTTTTTTAATCACTTAAGATATTAATAAAATAAGTCCAACCAAACAATTGTGACATTATTATATATATATAGTAAAGAATATTAATTCAATCAACTGTTATTATCATAATAATATAAGAAATATGCATAGTACGAAAGAATATGGAATAGGATTAATTAGGTTGGCTTATAATATATGGCGCCAAAAGTCTAACTGAGAATCTGATTTTATTTTTATTTTTCTATAGGGAAGGTATTATATAATCCCCAAATGAAAGGAACTTATTACCAAACTCCCATAACAATCGGATGAAAACAACATTTTTTCTTGATGTCCTAGTAAGCAACATGTTTCTTTTCAAACTTTCACGATTCTCCTTTAATTTCTTTGAAGCTTTCTCAAATTTATAGACTTGAATATACAGATTTGACAGAACTCAATAACTTTGACTTAACTCTAATATATATATATTTAGAAATTTTCACTAAATTTGTACAAACATTAAATTCAGAGTCTAGTTACTAGATGTACTAGAGATTGTCATCTTAAAATTCAGAATTCATAAAGTTTAAATCTCAAATCCGTCTCAATTAACCATATGTCATCTGTGACATTATTAGTGTTACAGTATATATAATATTGATATTTGACACTTTTAGGTAATTCAAACATATGATTTTTGGATTTTTCTATTTTCTTTCCTAATTCATTCTCGATTTGTTGTTGAGATTAGGTTGATTCACTTGCATATTTCAAAGTCAAACTCCCGTGTGCTCCAAGATATGACACTTGACATTTGAAAGGTATATACATAAAAACACGCAGACAGAACATATATTATAATTATGTCATATTTAGAAGCTTGAGTATATCTTATGAGACCAAAATGGCAACCACAAAATATATTTTTAAGTAACTTAGGATATATATGTGAATATTTAAACAATTACATTTCTCTAGCTAAGATACGAAAAGAAAAAAAAGAGTTCCGATTTGATATTGTTGGAATTCGAAGATGTAGCATGACTGAAATAATCTTTTATTATAATTTTAAGAAACTTATAGGAGGAGGTATCATGAATGGAAATAATCTTTTTAGAATTACTTCACTGATCATGGTCTATTTCAATATATATATATCATTGGAGTGTGAACTGCTTATGCCAACGTTATTATATAAATTACATAAATCCCATATTTTCAATATGAAATTAGAATCTATCCCTAATAAGTTTCTAATTACATTAATCCCTTAAAAATTAAAAAAAACGGATACAATAATTGAAGCTCGGATACATTAAGTACTGTCTCGGATAGATCAATATGTAGCTCGGATACATTAAATACTGGCTCAAATACATTAATATGTAGCTCGGATACATTAAATACTAGCTCAGATACATTAATATGCAACTCGGATACATTTAAGAAATAAGGGATTTTGGAGATTTTTAAAAGTAATAGGTGATAATGGAAATATGTGAAACAAAATGTGTGTATTTCTGTAATTTGTCCATATTGAGTTTTGTCCGAATATTATTCTCACCTTAAAAAAAAGTTATTTCTCAATTACATTTCAAATGATGAATAAATATTAGTAACAAACAAATTGAAAAACTATCCATATGCTAAAAAAAAACCTTACTTTAAAGAGTGGTTATCTGTTTAATTACATTGTAAATGTAAATGATGACTAAATATTAACAAGCGATACATGCACGATGGACTCCTAGAATGGGCTAGCTAAGCTTCAATAATAGTGCTGGGCTTCAGTCTGCAAGATACTTGAACACACACGTTAGTTGGGCTTTAAGATAGGCCCATGTATATGGTTTGGGCTTTAAGAATAGGTCCACGTTTACGTTTTGGGCTTCAAAATCCTAGAAAATATCTAAACAACGTCGACAATGGCGCCATGGAACTCCGGCTACAGCATAGCCTAAGCTCTTTCTTCAGCAAGGAGAACTGAGCTTAAGTATAGCAATATTTTTCAATCCGCTTGAACTTTGTAGTCAAAGAGAACGGAGCTTTAAGCTAGAAACTTTAATGGAGTTAACTTTCCCAGTGAAAGCTCAGTTTTTTGGCTCCAAAATTGGTTACAAATCCCAAAGCTACTCAACTTCAGTAAAATTCTATCAGAAAGTATCTCGTCCTCAATTTCCAGCACGTGGAATTAGGGTTCGTTCGGAATTTGACCATAAAATCAATGGCACTTTCTCTCCTGATTCTGACGCTCGGTTTCTCGACCGGGTATCTCTTTCTCTCTCTACGTGTGTGTATTTATATTTCTGTATGTTGCTTTACTGAAGATTTCCATGTGACTGACTTCCTTAACTCCTGCTTCAGCAAAAAGCATTGGATGCTGCAATGAACGATATAAACAGCTCGTTTGGCAAAGGAAGCGTTACTAGATTGGGTAGTGCTGGCGGAGCTCTGGTGTATGTAATTTTTTCCTGAATTCAAAAAAAGTTATATTAACTTCCTGCACAGAAAACATATGAACAAACATGAAATGTTTTGGGGAAAAGAAGAAGAAAATGAAAAAGGAGAAAAATATTCTGCACAAAATTTTGATCCTTGTTAGACTACAAAGTTTTATATCAGTTTTACAAGCATTTGTGTATTTGCTTCTTTATGCAGTGAAACTTTTCCGAGTGGCTGCTTGACGCTAGACTTTGCTTTAGGTGGTGGCATTCCCAAAGGCAGAATTGTTGAGGTGTAAATTTTTCTACTTTATCATTTATATTTTCAGTATGCGTTAGTTATTACTGGTTATTCACCATCTATTTGGTTTCAAATGCTTGGCTGCTTGGTTATTACTACTAATTGTTGGTTTTGATTACACATCAGTGAAGTAATCCTACATGAAGATGCATAGAACAGTTATAGTGACCAGTTGATAGAGTGATTTTGTTAGAAAACTATTTCATTGATAGTCTGGGGTATTTGATTCTGATGTTTGTCTACATCCCAAACTTCTCAACTGATATGAGCACGTGGAATATTAACAAGGTTGCTGCAATTTGTTATCTAATTGCTTTCCTCATATTTGTATTTACAGATATATGGGCCCGAAAGTAGTGGAAAGACTACCTTAGCTCTCCATGCTATTGCAGAAGTACAGGTGCAGTATGTGTTTGGTTTATTCTACTCATCAGTTTGGAACTTCTATAGGCACGGGGCTGCACTTGGAAGGGAGGGGGCATTTGATTATTTGGATGAAAAGGAAGTCATATGCTTCTATCCACAGATGAAGTGGAAAGAAAATAATGGACAATTTGGAAGTCTAGAAAGCAAACTTAGAATCCTTCCAGCGTCCATTGGAACTTTATTATTGTGACCAATCCACCGAAACCACTTGCCTTAGGCTTATTACTGAAAAATGTTCTCATGTAAAGTGAGACAGATTATAAAATGTTAAATTTTGTTATGCAGAAGCTAGGAGGCAATGCAATGCTTGTTGATGCTGAGCATGCTTTTGATCCTGCATACTCCAAAGCACTTGGAGTAGATGTAGAGAATTTGATTGTCTGCCAGCCTGATAATGGAGAGATGGCTCTAGAAAGTAACAACTTTTCCTTGTTTACACCATTAGAAATAATTTTTCAGTTCTGGTGCGAGCAACTTTGTCAATGATCATGGTGGTCTTACTATAGTTTGTACTGTCAACCAAACTTTTGGCTGTCTCAGTCGCAGACCGGATGTGTAGATCAGGTGCTGTAGATCTCATTTGCATTGATTCAGTCTCAGCCCTTACTCCACGCGCTGAAATTGAGGTAAGCCAACATTTTAATTTTCTGAAATAATTAGAAAGCTTTAAGTTGTTCCCACCAGTTCCTGATTTCATGGTCTCTTATTTTGTGCAGGGAGAAATTGGGATGCAGCAAATGGGTTTACAAGCACGCCTGATGAGTCAAGCTTTACGTAAAATGTCAGGCAATGCTTCCAAAGCTGGATGTACTCTTATATTCCTCAATCAGATAAGATACAAGGTATTCTTGACTTAAAAGTTGCAGTGTTCTCTTTTCAAGTACTGAAACGGCAGCCCGGTGCATAAAGCATCTTGCGTTCACTAGGGTCCAGGGAAGGGCCACACTGGGGTGTGATGTAGATAGCCTACCCTAATGTGCATTAGTGGCTGATTCCACGTAGAACCCATGAGCTATAGGTCACAGATGATGGATAATCTTGTCAATGGAAACTTGTCATTCTTGCTTCCATTGTGATTAACTTCATAAACTAGCATATTTTTCATCATAACTTGTGGACTTACTTGATGAATGAAAGTAATTACTATATTTCGAATCAGATTGGTGTTTATTATGGAAATCCTGAGGTCACAAGTGGAGGGATTGCCTTAAAGTTTTTCGCCTCCGTTCGACTTGAAATCCGTTCTACAGGGAAGATAAAATCTGTGAGTACAGAACTGCTCAGTCAGCTAATAGATTTTTTATTTTACTCATTTAAGTCTCTTTATGAAAAAATTGTTACTCTTCCTTTCAGGCAAAAGGAGATGAGGAAGTGGGCATTAAGGTCCGAGTGAGAGTTCAAAAGAGTAAGGTAAAACTGCTTCACGTCATAATTATTCAATGTGGTGGCATCAGTATTATGTTTGTGGAATGGAATACATATGGTAATGGTTCAGTTATACAAGTGTTCAGTGCTTAAAACTATAAAGCTGACATTTGCATAATAAAGGTTATTATGGTTATTGGATTTCCTGCACTGGAAGCATGGTGATTCCACTGTATGATCATTGTAAATTGGTGTATATTGTCGAAGACTTTATGTAGCTACTTTAGCGGTGCATCCATGCAGAGGTCTATTTTAGCAAAAACCTCTATTTATTTTAAAATCTCTTTTAGCAAATACAGGAACATGAAAGAAATTGCCAGTATACATCTGATCTTTTACTGTTTGCATCTTCTTGCAGATTATGGTGCCAACATGCTAATTGGTTTTACTCTTTTCCTTCTTAGGTTTCTAGACCATACAAGCAAGCAGAATTTGAAATTATGTTTGGAGAAGGAGTGAGCAAGCTGGTTTGTGGCATTCTTATCTTTCTTTTCCATAGTGTTTGGCTCAAATTCTGTTCCTAAAATTGACTTTTTGCAGGGTTGTGTATTAGATTGTGCTGAACTGATTGAGGTGGTGGCTAAGAAAGGTTCATGGTATAACTACGGAGAGCATAGGTTAGTACATTTTGCAGTTTTCTCTATAATATAGGGACTCCCAAGAAGCTTACTAAACTTTTAATTTGTGAAACTCCATATCTCAACAGAAATATTTGCATATGTTTGTCATGACCGCTCAAGATTCTGGGAATTTTCCACATGCTGTACTAGAAGTGTCAGAGTTTATACTCAAATGAAAAGAAAACAGCTTAGGAGAATTGATAGATCTCATACTTTATGTGGTTGCTGATGGAAATAATTTAAAGTAGTAAGAATATGCAAGAAATTGACTTTCAATGTGATTGAAAACTGTCTGAGTAACTGATTATTGTTGCAGAAGCTAAGATTAATCAAAGATTTGTCTTATACTTCAGTGAGCTGAGTCTTGCAAGGTTCATTACCAATATTATGTGACTCGACACTGTTTCTTGATGTTTTACTATATTACTAATCTTGCGTGAGTCAGTCACTGATTCTTGATACTTTTAATGAAGGCTGGGACAGGGACGAGAGAAAGCATTGCAATATTTGAGAGAAAATCCTCTTCTCTCTGAAGAAATAGAAAAGGTATTGTGCCCTCCTTTTTAGGTGCATCTCGTAAGAGTTTTAGTTGTCATATTGTCTAAGGTACAAGTTCAATATCTAAACATAACCTGGGAGGTTTTAAATGGATAAATTACTGATGATAAAAGAGAACTAATAACCAAACAATATCCTAAGTTTATTTGCATATTTGGTATGTTCGTTAGTTGATCTGTTCTGGTGTCTTGAGCTTGTAGGCTGTTGTTTTAGATGGAAAACAGATGGAAACTACGACCATTTATGTGGTCATAGTTTTTGAGCGACAGCAATTGTATTTATGTGGTCATAGTACCCATACACGAAGATAATATTTTATATATCGTAGTTATTTGCTTAACATATTGAGAGGTTTCTTGTACACTGTTAATCAATATTTTGGAGGCGGAGAGATGACATTATCTATCTGCCTGAGCAGATGGTTCGGTCATCGGTGCTAGAGACAACGGGGTTTTTAGGCTCTTCTTCATTGAAACATCCACTGCCGCAGCTTCTAGAGGAAGATGCACTTCAAGAGATGCAATAACATGAATCAGAGTTCTGCTTCGACTTCGACTGATTATGACAACAGAGCATTTCTCAACCAACATTGACATCCATCTGAGATTCTACATTAGAAATGAGCAAAATCGAAGCGTCACTGCCAGATTTGCTTTGTATGAAACCATTTCTGTACACTATAGATTCTTGAAGATAGATGTATATTCTTGTAAACTAATACATCTTTTCATGAAGAGGGAGATACATACGTCCTTCATTGCTTGACTGGTTGCCTGTTGGGCAAACAGGAGAGCTTGTATTTGGACGTCTTAGGCGACTAGGTGTTAGTTTAGCCAAAATTGAAGAATTCGAGTTAAGGTGGGGAAAAGGAGTGTTAGCTCTTTGCTGCATATTTTGTCTTTGTTTTGGTTGTACTGTTAGCCAAAATTTTGATGATCTTTGCCAGAGGCAAATGAAGATTTTTGCTTGAAACATTTGCATTGGAAGTACCATCTAGTGTTGTGTTGGTATTATTATCCCATTAGCTCTATGCATTAAGAAATCTACTAAATATTTCTGTGAACTCATATATTATTGTTATATTAATTTGAGATCTTACACTTCAAATCTCGGATTAGCCAATAACTGTGTGGAGTCATTAGTTCATGGAAGGCGATCAATCACGACTGAACTTAGAAGATTAAGATTATAAGAACCTAAAACAGCAACATTAGGTGTAATATTATCCACAGTAAAATCACAGCAATTACATATTAATCAAGATGCCTGGAAATATTTTGAAGTATTTTTGAAAAGATTACATGGAATACAACTTAAAATAGTACAATACAAGGATAACATCTACTGTGCCAAAGCACTTGTGTTGTAGACAAGGAGAGCACCTCCTGCAAGAATGCCAACCAAGGTCACGGCCCATATGGCTAAGCCAGTGGTACCTGCAATTATATTACATGTGAATCAGGATCTAGAGTCAGTAGATTCAAAATGAGTACGACTTAATTATAAACGTTCTTGTGTATATACATAGTTCGAGTTAAAAAAAGGAAGTTCAAGTAAATTGTCATACCTCCAACATAGACATCACCACTTGGAGACCACTCATCTGTGTTGTAGATGGGACTGCATTTTCAAAATCACACAAAGTATTAGATTATTTGTTTCATTTTCTATTAGTGAAGAATTACATTAAACAAATTAAGAAGTTTTTAACTAACCTGTATCCATCAACATTAGCTCCATATTTGTCAACATATTGGTACACACCCTTTCCCTAAACATCACCATGTTTTGCTCATATATTAGAAAAGTAATAAATTAAAATATACACACTTATAAACTACAGAAAAGCAATTGCTTTAATTTACATTCTTTTATTTTGAAAAAAAATGGAAATATTATTTTACTACTAATTAATGATATTATTATATATATCAAAGGTAGAAGTAAACACAAACCTTGGGCTTCCTGCCTGAGGCATCAAGCCCATCTCTCAAGGCCATGCTTCCATTAATTCCTAGTAACAAAGCCCACTTCATAATCAGCAGATAGTATTAATTTTGCATTACAATATTTTTTCTCTGGTTTTTTTTTTTTTCAACTACACATATATAGACATAGTTTGCATTATGATAGGTTGTTTACATCACATCCCTTAAGGTATGGCCCTTTCTCGAACCTTACAAATGTGAAATGTTTTGTGTACCGAGCTGCTTTCATCAAAGAGTTGAGAGAAAAAGGATTAAAAACACCCCTACTCTCTATACCAATTATCCTAATTTTATCCTTAAGCAGATATTCATACCCTTGTGTTAACATATTGTCTTATATTAGCCAATACACCAGATGATACAATTAAGTCATGTCATTACATACATGAGTAAATATGCACCTTTTCCCAAGAGTTTGACGAATATATACATCGACAACATAAAATATTTCATATACGACTTAAAAGCTAAATCACAAGGAATTCTAATAGTAAACATGGACATGTTAAATTACCTATCAACAAATAAAACTACACTAATAATGTAAATATTGTAATATTGTTTGTGTATGCAAGATAAACTCTAATTCAATTAAATAAGTGGCAAGAATAGAAAATTACATACCATAGGGTTTGTCAGTCTTAAGCTTCTTGACACCACTAGCCACAACTTTGAAGGGAGAAGAAGACCTAGCAAGTGATGGAAGCCCTTTCACTGATGTTTTCTCCAAAGTGAAAGTTGGCTTTAGGCTCAATGAGCTCATTACTGTGCTTGCCATTTTCTCCTATACCTTTTTTCTTCTTTTGCTCTCACTATTTAGTATGAATTATTTATTTTCACTTTGCATGGTCCCTTGATAATAATATTAGTGATGACTTGCAATTTGTGATTTACAAGTTGACACGTGGCACCCCTTCTGTGGATTGCTTCTAGATAATATTATTACCAACATTATCAATATATAGCATTCTTACTACAAATTATTTTCCTTTGCCTTATCTTAGTTTTGTGCACTTGGAGTTCATTCATTGGTTTTCTTTGATTATTAAGGGACCCAAGAGATTGACTTGTTTCTTATACATTTTTGTTATTCTCATTTTATTTTCCTTTCTATTTACTCAGTCCACTCGTGCAAGGAAGAGGAGGACAAAAAGAAAAAACTGATTGGTTCCTCTTTGGGTTGTTGCCTGTCGGAGACCAGAATAAATTATGAGGGGTTAGCTCATATCCTAACTTAAGTTAGCTCATGAGAAAAAGAATTATTCGAGATCATACAGAAAGAGCACAACTCATTCAGTCAATCAATGTGAAAACAGAATTACAAGGCCAAAAACATTAAGAAACGCGGCCCATCAATGGGTCTAGCTCTAATATCATGTAAAATTATAGTCCTTGAACCTAAATCATCTTCAAAAGCTAGAGAGCACAATTCAATTCTCTTAACCAAAAATGGAACTTAACAATTTTGAACTAAGTATTGAGTTCATTTCACCTAGCTGGTTAACGAGTTCACCATTCCCACAAGAAAGACGAATCAAATCCAAAGATTAAATTCCTCCTTATTTCTCTCTACTTTTGGTGTTTAAACTGTATTTACCTTCCGATACTGCTAACACTGAAAGCATATAGTTCTAAGCAACACGAAAACTCCATGTTCGATTCGAACATCCAGCATAACACTAGTTAACCAGAATGCTAAGTTAAGCATGGGCAATACTGGCAACACATATAGGTGCTCAATAGACATCATTTCAATAAACTAGAGTTGATTTCAAGACACCGTTATGTATTTGGCCTTGATAAATGTTCAAAGCACTGATACGGTTGCAACCAAGTAATATTCTAAGACAACAATTTCAGCTCAAAGGCACATATAGTTGCTTCTGGACAGTAATGAAACTAATACAGTACTATGGTATGGTAGCCATTAATAGGATTCAAAAATATTGGTGTTGATGTTTCTTTGCCACATTAAATCTAATGGGTGTGGTCTGCCATAGTCTGTAATTGGGTAATCATTTGAAATGCAACTGACTCCTGTGCTTCAGAGGGGGCTGGAATGCAGATCACTCTCCCAAGAATGTAGAAATCCAACCCTATTTACAGTAACTCCAGCATGAAATCCACCTATGAGAAAATGAACTCCAAGGATTAGTTGAATCGGGAATTTTTAAGGAATGGGTACCATTAAATGTCATAAAATTAGATTCTATCAGGTTGTGAGCAAGCCGAAATTCTTTAATTTATCATGGGAAAATTGTGATTCAGACAACAAATAGATATTATTAGCTTGTCCAACAGATGAACACAACCTCCCCCCCCCCCCCACTTCCACCAACAACTA